TTATAGGTCACCTCTGCACGATGAAGCGGACAACGAAGTGACTACTTTTTGAATGAATGCTAGTGTTCATAAGCTTGAACTGCAAGTGCAAAAAGTGAGAGAAAAGAGTTGAAAACCTTTGTGGTTTTTACTTTCCACTCTTCTGTCTCAGTTGCATGAAATGCACTGTAAAACACTGCTTTGACACAGATTGTTTTTTGTTTCTTTCCTCTTTTGCATCACTAGTAAAGGCCGGGGGTAAAAGGGTGGCCAAGAAAGGCATGGAAGAAAATGCCACCCATGCAACTCCAGAAAAGGACACCAGGAAGTCTGATAAAATCAGGTATGCTCACACTCTGCAGTAAATGTGCTTGAGCTGAAAACAAATTTAGCTTCAAACATTAGTGTGTAAGAATGCCCAGCAGCATTTCGATCTTATAGGTCACTAACTTTGCTTTAAAAGCTGAGTATAACTCTGTTTTAAAAACCTGTGCAGCAGGTCCCTTGCCACCCCCAACAGGATGCAACAAGTTGGCATACTTCTAACAGGAACCCTCGACAAGGTAAACAAAGCATTAACTCTTAAAAAAGCGAGTTAATTCCTTTCCGAGCCAACTGGGTTAGTTGCAGTGCTTCAAAGTATTGTGGATAATAAACCTCCTTCCTGATGTTTTGCAGCTGAGCCACGACTTCCCAGAAACACCTGTGAGCGTGAGGCACAGTAAGGTGCGCCCCGCGGTGGAGAAGTCGCACTCCCCTCGGATCGTTTTCATCCAGCAGCCGAGGAAGTATTGAACTTTTTCGGGCATGCCCTAGAGGGAACCATGTTAAGTCAGCCGTTAAACACCAATGTGAAGTGTTAGACACATGAGGAGACTGAGACTGACAGGTTGCCTGTAAAGTGTTGATGGAGTGAAAGCTTTCAAGCTTCGTTTACTTAGAAGGAAGAAGGAAAAAAAAAAAAAGCTCTTTGGGGCCAAGCTTGTATGTGAATACTATAAACCAGCACTTCATGCATCTTTTCTGGCATAATAATAGAATTCTATATTTGTATTTGTCATCTGATTGGAAAACAAAAGCATTTGGTGGGTATGAGTATGTTTGAAGGGAGGGGTTAAGTTACTGAGTTTTATAAGGGTGCTTTTAAGGGGAATCTTCACTTTGTATTGCATGGCAATTGTATTAGATTTATTAAAAAACAAAAAAGCGGACTGCAAGCCATCACTGTATTATGTCTCTGTTTATTTCTTGGAACAGTTTTCTGTTCATTCACTCTAAAATGGCCACAAGGGGGCAGCAAATGGCCATTTATAACTTTAATAAACCAGACTATCTGGTCATGGATTTCACAAGTCAATCTCTAAGCTGCGTGCATCTATGCAATATATATATGCTTATTTATAATTATTTACTTACTTTTTACTTATTTACTTATAATATATGCTTGCTTCTATCCATCTGGCCTCTTTCATATAGTGACTGAACCGTGATATCGTAATGTTCCAGCAAGTCCACCCTCTATGTAGCCAAACTATTTTAATTATCCCAGTATGTGTGTGCAGTGAGTCGTAGTTAAACAGTGAGACGGATGAAAGGGGAAAAAGAAAACTCTTCCATAAAAGCTAGTTTGGTCTTGTAGGATTCACAGAGCTGATCTTTGCTTTAGAACATTTTGCCCCCAATTCCATTCGGAGCCTGTCCATGATCTATATCTTGACCATTTTTTTTGGAACCTTTTCCAGGGTTCAGTATCTCCATATGCATTTGGCAATACTACTGCGTAGTGGTGATTTTTTTCTTTCTTTTAATATGTTGGATAAATTGCAGAAACCACCAAGACTCCACGTGTCTGGAAAGTGAAAGTCAAAAGGGATTGCAGAAGTGTTATTGTTTTTAGTGTCAAGGCTGTGCTACAGGTCACCTCTGTGCAATATGAACCAGACAGGTGCTGTGACTGGTGGGTTTTAATCATTTTCAGGGATGCCTCTTGAATGCAGGCTAGTAAACTCAAACTGCAGGTGCCACATTTCACAAGGTAGATGGGGAGAGAGAGAAAAACAAACTAATCTGCTTTCCACTTTCTGCTCCTCAGGATGAGCTGCAAGAGACAGATGGTCAAACAGGAGTTTGAAACAGATTGGATAAAATAAAAACTGTAAAGAAATCTCTCTCAGCCAGAGTACTGCATGCTGAGCACACACAAGAATGACAGACATTTGTGTGGATTCATGTCAGAATACCAAAGTGACTTAATTGATGTATTTGTTGCTGGATATTTTCAGTTCCATGCAGATTTATTTCTATAGTGCAAAATCACAAAAGTCACCTGGTGCTTTGTCCTCTAAGGCAAAATCCTTACAATATTCTGGAGTAAACAGCAATCAAGTGAACCCACTTTGCGACAGTGGAAAGGAAAAAAAATCCTTTTTAACAGGAAGAAACCTCCAGCAGAACCAGGCCCAAGGAGGGGCAGCCATCTGCCGTGACTGGTTGGAGGGTGACGGGACTTAACGCAATCTAGCGGGGGGAAAAGGCAACATTTGAATGACATGCTGCAGTGGTGTTTAAACACGGGGAGTGCAATGAGATGAGTGGAGAAGAAGTGCTCAGTGCATCAGATGAAGTCTGAGTCTATTTTTCAGGTCTTATTGGAATCTGCACATTACAGCAGTTTCCAAGGGAATTGTGAACTCATAACCGCTGAAGACTTTCACACACCAGTTTCACCCGAGAGCATCATCATCAACATCAACAACAACAACAACAACAAAAAACAAACTCGGAAAATAGGTGTTTTATCTTCCTTTTTTTTACTGGAAGAAATGTGTGTCACTGTCCATGTTCCTTCCCAAAGTATATCATCATAACTGCAGGATAATAATACACAAAAAGTATTTTTCTTTTTTGCAAAATGCAGAAAATATCACAATGTAAAGATTTTTTTATGTAAGACCCCATTTTCCACCAAAACTAAGATTTCTGATCATTCCTTTTTCACAGCAGACTCTTGTCACCTCAGCACAATGTAGAACAATTATCATCATATCGCTTTATATTCTTGCTGTTAACGAATTGGTGTTAAAAAAAGAACCAAAAACTTTTGCAAGATTGCGCTGAGATTAATGTTTTTCCCTCAGAACAAGCTGCATAAAACAATGTTACCTCATGAGGTCACCACAGACTAAGGTGCACTACGAACTTCACTTGCCACACCAGACTGAGTCAAACCGTATGGAAAACCTTACTCTGGATCTAATTGCAATAATCCAGTAACCTAATTTGACACGTGTGCTGTAGTTCGTGAAATTTTTTATATTTATTACTCTATGTAAAACTAGCATTTCGATCAAGCTGTAATATTAAAATGTTAAAGTCAACAGGTTTATGGTCAAACTATGATTCAGCAGTATGCACAAAGCCAATGAGCAACATCCTGCTTTCAGCAGCCACTAATACAGACCTAAACCAATTAGACTTCATTTACATAAAAGCTCTGACTCACGTTTCAACTTCCCTCCTTCTAATGCACATCGTCGAGGAGGAAATTACACAGCATACTTGCTAAGTTTGCAAACAGTAAGACAACTGGCAATTTAATGTATTTAGCTATCAGCTGACTATGAAAGTTTGGAGATTTTAAATTGCCTACATGTGCCCAGAGTGAATATTGTTGCTGAAAAAGGATGACCAGAAAGCATTAATGCAAAGCAGTGTGTTGGTGCAGCAGCCAGCCCATCTGGTGCCATGTTACTCTTTATGTTCTTGGAAGGATTAATGAGGCCATGCATATATTTTACAGACAGTTTAATGTCCACATGTAAAATCGACAAATGCAAAGTAGCACATAGCTGCAATCAGTTATCAGTGCAGAGTAAAACTCCATTTAGGATCTGAAACAAGTATAGTAATAAAATTGTCAGAAACTGTTAAAGACTGTATAGACCAAAGCATCCAATTATTGCTTTTCTTCCAATTATATGAAAACGAAAAGACCACCCTGAAGACGTCTAAAGCGTAGCTTGTAAGAATACAATAGCTATACACAATAACAGTGATTCAGCAAAATGTTGTGGACAGCGAGGCAAGTTTCATCTGACTGGACACTTTTGGCTTGATTGCAGCATTTTAGGTTCTGCAACTTTTGGTCCACCTAAATAAATAATGGATTCTTCAATATTCTACAACAGATTTATTCCTGGCAATGTGGAAAGAGCTTGGGCAGATTTTGGAACACAAATACCTTTGTGTGGAAAACTAATCTCAGTTCGAGGTCCATTCACTACTTCCAACTTCATCACACGATTTAATTTCACTTAAACACCTTAAAGTTTCATTTTAGAGTTCTCTTCTTTCTACATATATTCCCAGAAGGCTTCTGGAAGAAAACACAGACAGCTGATGCACTTCCTCTGGATTCATCTCCCATTCAAGTGACTTCTTCAGTCTCAGACTGACTGCAAGTTTCTCCAACCAATCATTAAACTGAGCTTGGGCCTCAGTGTTAGGCAGTGGTGCTAATTTTGGCATTGTGCAACTGTACTCTTTATAAGGATGGGAAAAACCTGCATCCAGCTGACTTAAGAAGGTGCTTTTAAGACTTTTAAGACAAAGTTGGAGAGGCAGAGCTTAAGATGGTTTGGAAGTGTGCAGAGGAGGGATGGTGGATATAGTAGACAAAGGATATTGAAGATAGAGCTGCTTCTCTGAGGAAGAAAACCTCAGAGAAGTGTGTATCTGGAGGATATGCAAAAGTTTGGTGTGACAGAAGAGGACCCCATTGATAGGGTGAGATGGAGGCATATGATCCACTGTGGCGACCTCTAAAGGGAGCATCCGGAAGAAGGAAAATGTGAAGTTTTAGAGAATTTCACACTCCTTAAACTAAATGCTTGCAGCTTGTATCTCTAGCATCCTGTCATGTCCATGAGGCATGCACACAGAAATGAGAGCAGAAGAAAAGAAGCGGAGGAGGAGGAAGGAGGGGTAGATCTGGTTTGTTCTCCGCTGCTGATCCTTCCCACAGATGACCTCATGCGAGAGAAGGAGGAGTCCGACGTCCCGTAGCCTACCTTGGTGGAGCAAGTGGGGATTGAACTCGTGTGGAGATACGCTCAGAGTGCTGGTGAAACTTTTAGGACTTTAATATCCATGACATTTATCAGGTAAGATTTAAAGCGTATTCACAGATTGTTTGTGTGGTCGTCGTCGTTGTTGTTAGTTTGTTCACCAGTTGGGAGAAGTAGTGTTAAAGCGTGAGAGTTTTAGTGGCAGTTTGTTGGGAGGAATGTCGGGACATGCCCATTGAGCAGTCTTCAAAACCAACGGGACTGACAGCAGTCATTGGGATTTTTATTTTCAGTGGCACAGACATATTCAGTCTCTTTGTTCGAGTTGGTTTCTCTGCTGCTTTTACTTTACGTTACTGAGAAGCTAAATTAGGTCAACTTTAAGGGAAGTTATTCGGTAAGTGGGTTAAAAAAAATCGCTTTTTTTTAGCAGGTAAAGTTTCCATTCATTTGGATGTTAAACTCAAAGGAAACAACTTTAAAGCAACTAAAGTAAATTTAATCAAAGTAATTAAAAAGATTTGTTTCATAAATACTGACTAAAGAGGTGGCATTTTAATCGATTACTCGATGGCAATAATTTTTAAAATGGCCTCATCTGCAAAAATCTCTAAAAAATATAGTGACTCCATTGCAAAATTCTGAGCACAGTTTTCAGTAAGTAGCAGTAGTTGTTGTTTATTTCTGTTTTCGTGTGGAGAGAATTATAGAAAGGTCGGAAAAGCATCACTTTCCAGGCAGGTTTTTTCATGTCTAAGCATTTTAAACGTTTCTGGTGTCATTCTAAGGCTTTGAATGAAATACAGTATGAGTCAAGGATGGGATGGCCTTGGTCCACACCACATGGTGTGTTCAGTTGATATATGGGTGGATCCCTGGTATAATAATCCTTAAAGTCAGTCATGCAAATATATAAGAAACGGGAAACTAGATGTAAGGACTACAAAATTAATCGGATACAGCAGATAAAATTCATCCACTGGGGGAAATCATCCAACTGCCCACATGTGTGTCAGAATAACTGGGGAAAACCCATTTCAGAGTTGGACTATTCATTGAAGGTGAAGAAAGACCATTGCAGAGTTTCTGTATAGTCGATAAAATGTCAAATGAAAATAAATATTTGGAATTTAAGATTTAATTGGTGCAGATTCGCATGCTACACAGTGTTGAAGTGACCTAAATTACTTTATCACCAGTAATCCGATAAGAAGTGAGGTGAGGGTAGCTATGGACCAGATGTGGCCATCAATGTGTTGTGTAAACACTGTGCGCGCATCATCTTATGCACTGTCAACGTTATTTTCCCCTTTTAGAGGAAAAGGTTCATGGGCATTAAAAAATGGAGGCAGGAGGAACACTTGAATTCAGGGTTCTATTCATAGAGATTTCCAGTGATAAGATTAACTCATATCAATGTTCAGTGGATTGTGTTTATTTTTTAGACTGCATGTCTGAAAGTTTCATATAGTGGTTCGTGTCTGTTATCAGCTTGCTGAGGAAGAACAGTGATAATTGTATTGTCCTCTCATTAGGACACAGATGATTTCCAGAAAGGTCATTACTTTTCTTATGACCGTGTGGTCTTGCTTGATGCTAATGCTCTGTATTTTCTGATTGGATGCGGTGGTTTTGAAAGCAAACCCAAATCCAGATATAGCTGTAGGCCTAAGGCTAAAGGACTGTAATCTTTTCCACCCACATAAATTGAGTCATTGAAGTTTGACCACTGGCTGGATATGAGTTCTGCTGCTTTCAGCATATTTCCGTAGAGGAATCCTCCTGTAACTAAGCCAGGTGCTCTGAAAATCAAAGTTCCAGTTTTTTGTTTTCACCTCCTCAGAAATTGCTTGTAAATGTCAGGATGAAGCTTTGATCGTTGATCGCATGTGAAGTCATAGATTCAACTTGCTCTCTGATCACTGTCTCTGATAAAGTCTTCATAACCTTAAAGCCTTCAGGCGTTCAGCCTTGAGAGAAGCTGCCACAACATTTGCTATTTCCTCCACTCAGCTGCTTGTTTCATTTTAGCTCCGAGGGCACTTTGCCTCTCTAGTGTTGATTCCCCCCCCCCCCATTTCAGACTCAACAGGTGGGACAGGCTTTGCTGCCGACAATCATGCTGATGGTCAGTTAACGGGAATATGCTCTGTATTAACTTTCCGACATAATTTCAGGCAATTTTACGCTGATTATGAAACCATTAGAGAGGATTTGCATGCCTCTGTGCCAAGGCTAGAACTACCCCAATTGTCTGTTATGAGGTGTTTGAATTGCAGGGCAGTCATCTTATTGAAAGTCCCTCAAGAGTCTGCTTCCCACTCTCTGCAGAGCCTGGTTCCCATGGTCCTCAGCCAGTTGGCTTATAACAGATGCTGGCATCAGAGTCGTATTGTTATGGCTGAGGAGGGAAGGTTACTGGAGCCAGTGACCTGACAGACAGCACACACTGAGCTGGTGCTGATAATAAGGATAATGGTTTTGTCCTATTGAAAGGACCCAGTCCATGGTTCCAACAGGAAAGCCAGATTTTTAGCGGCTTGTAGGGTTCAGGACTCCATATGTGAGCCTACCGGATGGGTTCTGAAAGCCTTGTTGTAAAAATCTGGTGTGAGTAAGGGTCTTACTGCACATTAGCTTGTGTGTAGCCTTATGGGAGTGCCCTATTTTGTAACTACATTAGCAAAAAGTTTAAGAGTGCTACTGTGTTACATATAAGTCTCCATGAAACTCCATCCGTTGTCATGATTAATTGCAACTTATTTTTTGTTTAGCTCTTCCCTCACATGATTTACTTGCATGCTACCAAAACCTTCTGAAATGTGATTGCACAGATTTACTATCAGTGCAAATCAGAATGTTTCCTGTAGCAATAATCTCGTTTCTTGCTTTCAGAATCTGCATCTTCATATACAGATATCTGATTTTAGAGATTACTTTATCCCTAACCTGTTACACATACTTGTCTGTTTTGGTTTGGTGCGTTAAGACGTGCCAAAGCTGTCACTCAAACTGCTGGACAGCTTCCAGTCGACTTGTTTGCAGTTGCAAAGCGAAGGCCAATTGCAGGATTTTGTGACCGTAGCCATGTGATTTCCATCTACGTTTGAAAAGCTTAACGACGGTTTGTGTCTGATGAATGTGGAAACTTTCAAGGAAGGAATCCCCTCTGCGTTATATATCAAGAGGAAGATTATGATGCGCATTGTGTGTGGAATTTACAGAAAACACATGCGAGACACTTTTGCATCTCAAAGCCATTAAAGTGGTTTTAGGGCATGTTGTGACATAATGACATAAAGCAGAAACGGTTACCCCCCTTGAGCTCTTGGAACCTGAACAAAGCACAAATTGTTGCAGGCTGTTATGGAGTTGGTGCCACCCTGTGGGGTAGGCGCTCTGTTGAAGTTATCATAAGAACCTGCAAGAGTATTATACCAGCCTATTTTATGTTTACTCTTTAAAAGATGTGCATGTGTCAGACGCAACATAACATCACCATCAGGAAATATTCTGTCGCATTCTCGGTGCTGGGACGACAGATTATGTACACACCTTTTGGCAAAGTGGCAAAGCTGTGTAATTGCATTAGCTCAAGTTTCATAAAGGGAATGGCAGCTTGTGTATCAAATGACTTTCCTTACCATTTAATTGCCACATTTCCCCTCGGGTCATCTAATAAAACACTGCAGAATCACAGCCATTTATTTGGAGTTTGTCTTGTATTTCAGTAATGCTGTTGACATTTGCAGAATTTAATAGCCATAAAAAATGCCCGGCGTTTCCTGCAGTATAAGTTGAAAGTCCAGGTGTGAGAGCGAGTATAGTGTGTATGTTTTCCCATATCTGAGCATGTGGTTAGGCTGTGTGTGTCTAAATCACGTGATTGTTTGGAGGTGCTTCTTGGTGCCAGCTGTTAGTGATTTACATTTTCAAGCTATTTTTGAGAACTCCAGAGATGCGGTGATAAAAAGAGAGAGGGTCATATATATAAACCAAAAGAACGTGTAAAAACAGCACAACACACTATTTGGAGTATTCACTTTATTTGTATTTCAAATGAATTTGATGATTATTTAGTTGACACTAGTTTAGAGTCTGTGGGAGGAATGTGCGATGACCTGTGTGCAATATCTCCTTTGCATGTGTGACTGGTGTCTGCAAATTGCACATAGTTGTGTGAGTTGTACTCTCATCTGTGTGCGGCTTGTTGCTCTCCTTCATTGTAGAGTGGGCTGGACCAGTCTGCAGCAAGCACCCGTGAAGGTTGCTGTAGACGAAGAAACCAGGAAAGCCAAACTCGATGGTTTGTTAACAGTTTTACTGTGGCCATATGTCGCCATTGTGGAACGTGTGCTGTTTTGCACTTGCTTTTATGTTCTCCTGGTCTACATAAATACATTGGTTATGTTTGGAAGTATGGAAGTGTTTGGGTTCCCACAAACCGATGAGCCAGTCGTCAACAAAGAGCTGCTGTGTGCAAATGTTTTGTACCCAGACCAATTGTATTCCTGTCATAACAAGGACTTAGGAAAACAAATCTTATTTGGATCAGTGAGATGTCAGCGTTTACCCGTTTTTGGTAAAACGCACACCTGAAAAACTTCGTCATTTTGGAGCCATATTGCCAACTTACAGAATGGTAACCTGTCTCAAGTGTTTATTGATATTTGTTTGTTCATTATTACTATTTTATGAAAAATGAATGGAAATACAAAAGTGCAAACACGGCGGTGAAGATCTGTCATTTGTAATGCTTTTTTTTGTTTGGTGCACTGGCGCCTTGCTATAATTCTTTTTGTGACTCACTGATTGATAAAACCTTAATAGAGATGTGTTGCGTGGACTTCCTGTAGACTTTGCGCACTGCTTGTTAATGTTTTACTCTTACTCAAATACCAGTCTCTCACAGAAGTGAATACCAAACTTAGTCCAAGTAGCAACGATTTGGCTTTATTTATTTTTACTGCAGATTTTTATTTCCACTTCACTGCTGCAGCAATTTAGTATCAGAGTGATAAGAGAGTTTAGTCATTATTGAGAACAAGAGGACGGAAATTGACGCAACATTGTTACTCAGTGTGGAGTTACATCGG